CGAATCTGTTTGCCTGGCCTCTGTGGCCCGATTTCCCAGGTCTGCTTGTGGATGTGACAGAACGGACAAGCATCCCTGTGGCACCCAGCAGAACTTGCAAAGAAGATACAAGGATCGCAGGAGCCCAAGAGGCAGAGGTCTGGAGCAACACCTTCTTCCAAGGAAGGCCCCACACCGGTTTCTCTGTCCGATGAGGAAGACGCCATCAATAAGCCCCTTTACGGAAACTGGACCTGAGATGTTGCGGCACATACAACATGATGAGATCTATTGCATAGCTCAGACCGAATTCTTGACTGCCTCCACTTGGTCAATCACTAAACCCACACCGGTCGCCTTCTGGTTCCCCAGCGCCAGGCAGCCTAGCATCGAAGAAGCTCGCAGCGATGTAGGGCTGTCAGGCTTCAGGCGTCTGATGTTGAAGGGGATGTGAACACAAACCAAGCTTTGAGGATGTATGCTCTTCGGCAGCTTCGGCCGGTGCACACAGCGAACCTGCAATCAAACCTGGGCAACATGTTGAAGGGGTTGAGCTCATGGAACAAAGTACGATGAACATCTCGTCGGGCTGGCCTCGACGCTCTTGCGACGCGAGCTGACTACCTCGAACATCAGCTCCTAAGCCGCAAGCTATCGACGTGGCAAGCTAGGTCAGCTATAGGCCAGCTAGGCTGTGTTCGAGTTACTGTCACTACACTGTCACTGTCAGATCGGGTAGAGTTCGCGGACGCATGCAACGACTGCCCACTACGCCCCAGCTGAACCTTGCACCAAGGGCCAGGCAATTGAGAATCCAGCTTCGCTTGCACAGAAATCACCCACAACGGGAAGACTGAGCCATTCACTGCAGAATTTCTCCGACTTCAATCTGTCAGATCTATATCTTATAGGGTTCAATTCCGGGTAAACTTCCTGCATACAGATTTTCAGCATCTTCCGAGATTCGCCAAGCGAACACCCTCGGGGAGAACTCGCCTTGAAAGATCTTCTGCGTCTTTCAGTACTTGGAGGTTCATGGGTAGTTATAAGTGGAGTTATAAGTCCACTAATAGGGTTATGATTATAGTTACCCTACTTATAACCCTACTTATAACTACCCATGAGCCTCCAAGTATCCCTGGCTGACAGTTTGACAAATGGGTAGTTGTCAAAATGATGGTCCCTTTTGGGGTACCCTGAATAATAGGTGCCCTATTATAATACGGACCCAAAAAGGGACCATAATTTTGACAATCACCCAAATATGAGCATAAAGAACGGATGCAAGAAGCCACAGCCTTGTGACTTGTTCTTACTCGGGCACCTCCTGTTTCTATGCAAAAATGAAGTGTCATGCGAAACGCTCAGGGCCACTCACAAAACACCGCATGTACACACTTACTTACGTCTGCAGGCATGCGCGAGGATTCAGGAAAGCGCACCGATCATGACGGCAGCTTCAAGAGCGAGTGACACAGTCAAGCTGGCCGAACCTCTTGCCCTTCTTTGACCCAGCAGGAAAGCTTCGCTGGATCCATTGCGGCTTCAGAAACGAAACTCAGCCACGGTCCTCGCGAGGCTTTTGCTCGTGCACGGGTGGCCGTGAGACGGGAACAAACTGGGTCGCCCGGACCTGAACCGCCTGCGTGCGGAGTGCGCGAGGTGTCTGCGTTCGAAGGCTGGTCTGGCATCTCGCGGTTGTCCTCCAGTGTTTGCTTTGCTTTCTTAACTGCTTTCTTAACACTCACTCTGCAGATCACTCTCGGTTATGCTAAGGCTGACACACAAGATCACAAAAGGGGCTCAATGCAAACCAGTGGCGGGAGCGTGCCCTGCCGGATGATCTTGGGAACTGCAGGAACTGAGGCAGCCCTCACCAGCAATGTAGGCCGTGATGAAACGGCTTGGGTCGGAGCTGCCGTTGGTAGTTTCAGCTGCATCCTGTTGTACATGTACGCCCGTCCCTTTGGGGTGCTCGTTGTCCTCGGAGTTTGGGCCAACGGCACCACCACGCAGGATGTCCTTGCTGACTGAAGCCGCGGCGTGACGCCCAGCCTGGCAGCAAGGTGTCGCTGTAAGAGGCGCCTACATGTAGCAAAGTGCGATTGTTTTCTCGAATATTAATTCCCAAGCAGGCGCACCTCGAAAAGGAGTTCCTAGCATCCCACTATTTACAGCAGACGCTTCGAATCGGGTCCCCGCGTCCTACTATTTACACAGGATGCTGGCGGCGATGCGGTGCATAGTTTTCGCTGACGTCCTCTTGTTTGTGGAGGGTTCGTGTGAATTAATACGACATGGACCACTTCTGGCTCTTGAAAGCCTTGAATCGCGGCAGCCACTTCGGGTGTTCTTCGAAATCTCGCAAGCTCAGGGGGCGGAAACATGAGTCGGCTGCGCGGAAGCGCCTTCGTGCTACTCCTCACACCGCCGCTGCTTGGGGGAAAGCGATTCTGCCATGTTATCGAAGGTTTCTGAGTCCTGCCATGTCCTGCCGGTGCTTGCTCGATGCACCAGGACTTGCAGGCAAGCATGTTGTGCTGGTCTCCTGGTGGGCGCCTCCTGATGCTCTCTTGGTGTCTTGTGTTGGTGGCCTCTTGTGTTTTTGTGGTGTAGTGGTGGTCACTTGCTGGCGGTTGTCTCTAAAGTGTCTCCGGGGCGGTCGCTGTCGTCCTGGTCGTCGTCGTCATGGTCGCAGTGCTCGTCGTGGGTGGCAACATGGCGTAGATGCTGGAAAAGACACAGATGGCAACTAATTGCGACCTGTGTTTTCCCAATCAATTCAGGCCGTTACGGGACAGTGGTCGTGACTTTCTGGTCCTAATTTCAAATAACTCAATGGCATGCTTCTGGTATGGTCTTCACTGTTCGTGGATTTTCTCTGGCATAGTGTGATTGGCGTTTTTAAGTGTGTAATCAATGTTGTCACTTTAATGATTACTATTCCTGCTATCCAGCTTCTTGTCAAAAGCTCTCTCGATCAGGAGTGCCTCGGCGAGACTCCCGGTGCCATCTGGACCTTTGAGGGGCCACAGTTTGATGGAAAGGCAACCGGCATGGTCAAGTTGCCTGCGCTGACCTTGGTTGGTTGGCGAGGTCGGATAATCCAAATTCTAAAATTGCCGTGAATAGAACACTAGCCATTGTTACTAGTGACTAGTGACTACTGTTGTTCATACGAATGAGAATAACAAGAACAGTAACAATAAGGATGAGGCTGATAGCCATAATAAACAAGAAGAAGACTAAGAAAAAATGCAGCAATAATAACAATAACAACAATCATACTAGTAGTAATAATACCCGTAAGAAGACGACGACTACTACGAATAACAATAACACCAATTGCTCTAATAATAATGATAACACTAAAAATAGAAAGCTACAAAACCAAAAAAATGAAATAGCATACTAATACTAACAGCAATAATACGAGTACCATGACCTAGCTTCTGCTTTCACTCTGACTGCTTCCTAGAATGAGGAGGTGGTTGCCATGCCAAGACCGTCTTGCGGATTCAACGGATCAGGGTTTGGGGTTTAGGGGTTTGACCCTGTCGAGGAGCAGTCTGGCGCAAAGTGCTCTGCGGCGGTAAGGTATGCCTTTCGACAGCTGCCTGTCATCAGCGACGCGCTTGACTTCAACTGCAACCCGATAGTTACACGCATGCCAACTTAGAGACGGCTTTCAAGCGAATAACGACCCGCTGCAGGAAGCCTGGCACAGCAATAGCATGCGGTAATATGCGGAAACGCAGTACGTCGGCAAGAACAAAAGCTCCAGCGCTGCTGCCTTGCCTAGAC